ACACCTCAATGTTAGTGTACAGCCCTGATTTCTCCCAGGAACATTTCGCATGCAGATGCCTGCTGGGTGTGAAGAGGTGTCAGTGCTCCTGGCCCTTATCTGTGGCTCTGGCATCTCAACAGACGCTGTCGTTAGCCCCTTGACTCATCCCTATTCTGGAACACACCTCTGCTTCTATCTTCCATTTCAAAGAGTGGCACCTGACCCCCACCTTGTTGCTCAAGCCAGAAAACTGGAGGTGACCACAGCCTGGATAACTTGTCTCCAAAATAGATTTTGGATCCATTTATATCTTTCCCTCTGCATTTCCCTCATCATTCCTCTGCACGCTTGGCTTACAAGGCCCATCTCCCACCAGGGGTGTGGCAGGAATTTCATGTCCCTTGTCTACCCTCGCCTGCCCATCACATCAACATGCAAGTCTTTTCTTCGCAGCAACCAAAACGGCCTTTTTATAATGTAAATCTTGTCAGGTTACTCCTTTGCTTAAAAATCCACCAAGGGTGCCACTGCACCTATAACGAAATCCACAGCCTACCTGTTGGCCACACGCTGTGCTTCCTGCATTCCCCCTGCCTCTTTCTTTACTCACCTTTTTCTACACGCATTGACCTTCCTTGAAACCTTGCAATGCCAAACTCCTTCCAGCCTCAGGGCCTTTGCACAGGGCTTTCCCTGCCGGAATGGTCTCTCCCTCATCTTTCCCACCTCATTCTTGGGCCCTTATTTGGAATTCCATCTGCATCAGCAGTCCTTCCCAGGGCATCTGATCTTTTCCTTTTAACATTTCTAGTGCTGTTCCTCTGCTTTTTGACATCCCCCTTGTACAGCACATAAGAGACCTGACTTACCCCTTATAAACCCAGCACCTGGGACTTCCCACAGGAAGTGTGTAATTCTGGAGGAATTCTCTAAAGGAACAGAACTAGTAGAACATGTAATGCATATTGTATATACTGATAAAAGGGGATTTATGAAATTGGTTTACATGGTCAGAGTCTAGACAGTCCAACAGTAGCTGTTGGCACACTGGAAAGCAGAGACACCGGTGGCTACTCCGTCTGAAGAGCTGAAGGCCTCAGAAGAAGGGGGACAATGGATGCAACCCCATTCTGGGAATGAACCGGTCTGGAGCTCCCTGGAGGGTTGCAGAGCGAGTCTGTGTTGAAAGGCCTAAGAATCTGGGGCCGAAGTTCTCATGCAGTCGTAGCAGCAGTAGACAAACTTGCTCAAGAAGCGGAGTGTGCACATGCTGGCTGGCTTCCTCGTTCTGCTTTTCTTCCATCCTGGCCCCAGCCTGTTAGAAGTGTCACCCAGGTATCCCCACTCCCCAGTCGGCTGCTGTTCCTCATGCCAGTCACCTCTGAAAATACCTCACACCCAGAAGTATGCGTTACTAATCTCCTAGGCATCTTTCAATCCAACCAAGTTGCCAGTAACAATTAACCATCACAGGAAATGAAAGGATGGAAAGCAGGAGGAGGTGGGGTAGGTGGATGGCAGGGGCTGGCAAGGAAGAGAGAGGGGAGGGGCCTTGCTCTTTCCCTCTATGTTCCTAAGGTGCAGAGGTCCCTGCTGGCCAGTACTCTAAGGACATGGGACAGGTTGGTAGCCTCTTTCTGGGCCCAATCCCTGCATCCTTTTCCTTTGGCTTGGCAAATCCTGAATATAATTGCTATCTCGGGGGTAGATTCCCCAGTCCTGTTGTTTGGAAATCACAGAGGAGACAGTCACCACAGCAGTCCTGGGAACCACTGTCAGGAACTTGAGTTTTGCCTGCTGGGAACTCTGGGGGAGTGGCTGTGGTGGGGGCTTGGGAAACCCAAGGTTGCCAGGTGTCTGCTATCCTCCTCACCCATCCATTTCTTGTTCTGGGAGCTAACGTGACCATGTTTTATCAGAGGGACAGGCCACTGTTGCTTCAACTGCTGCCCTGACTCTTCCAGGCAGAGATGGTGGCTTAGCAAGTACCAGACCCTAGACTCTTTATTGACAGCCCTGCTTTCTGCCCATTTCACGGAGATGAAATGAAGCTTCTTGAGGGTCTATGGAGTGCCCTCACACCACTGCACCCTACTGCCCCCACCCTACAGCTAGGCCTACAGATTTAATGTCCTGTGTATTTGTGTGTTCATGTCTTGGGGACCGGGTTGCAGCCTGTGTTTTCTCTCTGAAGAGTGAGTCCACCATGTGGCCTGGACTGGCCCAGGGAACAGGAGGAAGAAAGGGTCTCCCTTGTCTCCACTGTGGCCCCCTTCTGCCCCACACTGACCTGGCCAGGGACTTCTTCCTGGTCTAACTGGCTGAGTCCTTAGATCTGATTTGGTTTTTGTAGGTTCTTGCCTCAGAAGTTCTTACCTTGTTGAGGTACCCTAGCCACCTTGTGTAAGTGGGTGGTGAGGCCCTGAGAACAATGCAGCTGGCAATAGTTTGAGGCCCCAGGCCTGACCATCTGCCTGAGGTCACACACACAGCTGGCAGTTGTGGTCCCTGGTCTCATGGCAGGTCCCCTTGAGGGGCTGAGGAGGGAAAGCCCGGGGACAGTTAAAGGTGGTGGCAACTGAGGAGGCCAGAGCTAAGAGAGGCCAGACTGCCCCAGGACAGTGGACCCCAGCCTGCAAGGATGGCAGGAGGGAGGCTGCTGGGCTCTGCAGGTATGACAGAGGGCATTAGGGTTACAGGACACCAGGCTGGATTGTGAGCTGCAGGGGACTGGAAGGCAGATCAGGATAGGAAAAGGAGGTTCCAGCAGGCTGGGGACTGGGGACATCTACCAAGGAGGGTCAGGAGACTGAGCTGAGGATGGCAGGGCCTGGACAGAGGAAGGAGGGCTCAGGATCTCCAGGGACAGAAAGCTGAGTGGCCTTTGTCGGGGGGCCACCTGCCGGTTTGTATTGGGGTAGCTGGCCGGCAGAGGGTGATGGCTGGGCATGGTCTGGGAAGCCCAGCTCAGTCCTGCTGCCCGCCTTTGGAAAGGAGAGGGTGGGACTGGAGCCCGGGATGCAGACGCGTCCAGGTCACACTGTGTCCCTGCTTGTAGTTCTTCTGAGGCTGCCCGCTGTCTCCTGCCTGGCATCTGGGGCCCTGGGGAACCATCCGTCCACTCCGCTGTCTGGTCCACCGCCACCAGGTGGAGATGCACAGTGGTCGGACAGAGCGCCACCTGGTGGTCACCAGGGCTGACTGCCTTCCGTTAAGAGCCCCTCTGCCTCTTGGTTCTGTGACCTTGTGGTTTCCTGAGCAGCTCTAGACCTCAGCCTCTCCACACCCCCCCCCCCGTCACCCCCCTCACCCAAAAACTTGCCTAGGCCTTGGGTGACCACGCCTAAATAAACAGCCCAAAGCAGACTTGTCCGGTACTTGGGAGTCACCTGGCATGATATGGATGATATGGAGACCTGGATGGGGGTGGGGGTGGGGGTGAGGTTGGACCCTTGGGTAGCTGGAGGGGAGAAAACTGGAGGTCTCAGAACTCAGTTCTGTCACCTTGAGAAAGTCACCTCTCTCAGGCCTCAATTTGCACAGTATTAAGCATACAAAGTTCTGAAAAAGGGGCCTGCAGACGACTGACCCCAGGTCTGTGGCCTGGCTACACCCTGGCACAGCTCAGCTCTTAGGGCTCGTCCCCTGCTTTCCGTCCTGGCTCTTGGGTTGGGCAGTGGGGGTAAGGTGACAGCTGTGAGGAGACTTCCTGGGTCCTCTGGTGTTTGGGGACCCAGATCAAGTAGGCTATGGCCTCCTGTTAATGGAAACCAGGCTGGAGGGTTGAGGGGGGCGGGCTCCCTTCCCTATTCCACAATGGGCCAGGGTCCCTTGGGACTCCCATTTTTCCTCATCCTAGAAAAGCTTTCTAGGGAGCGCCTAAGGCTTTCCAGGACCCATTGCTCCACACCCTGCCCCAGGTGCTGGACCCCCCCTGGCTTCCTTCCTGACATCTCCCTGCCCTGCCCCTCCCCGGGACTTCTGCCTTAAACTCCCTTCCTCCTGCCTTGAGCTGACTAGGCCAGTGCAGAGGGCTTCTTGGAGGAGGAGGCTGACCGCCAGCTGAGAAAGGCAGGCCTGACCACCCCTGAACTGCCCTCTCCTCTATGCAGTGTGGAGCTGGGGGCTGGATGGGTTCGGATCCTGGGAGGGCCACATCACAGCAGGCCTGAATAGTAAGCTAGATGCTAGAACATTCTGTGGTTAGACTCAGCCTCTGGGCAGGCTTCTGTGAGCCAATCAGAGAGAGGCTGGTAGTGCAGGCCCACACCACTGGGAACCCACCATGCTGCTGGGGAGTCTCACAGCTCACGCAGCTCTCACCATGTCGTCTCCTCTAGCAAGACTGTGAGGTGTCCCAGGCCATTGGCCAGCACGCAGAGAGGGGTGGCTAGGAACCAATGTCCAGTTCCCTGCTTAATAAGGGCGGGAAGAGCAATATGGGAACTTGAGGCTTCCTCGGTAGGCCAACTTAGTGGAACCAGGTTTCACCCCAGGCCACCCAGGGAACCTCCCAGAGAAAGGCTCAGTCAGACCAGAGAGACTTTCCTCGAGTTGAAGCCTCAGGAGTCCCTACTGTCTTAGCAGTTTGTATGGTGAGACCTGGGTTGGACCATCTTGGTGGGTACCACCGAACCCCATCTTCCCAGTTCCTGGTGTCCCTTAGCTACTCCAGCCCCCATGCTGAGGCCCTGTCCCCTCTGCTTTTACCCTAGTTCCCACTGCTCAGGGACTGAATCTGCCCCTCATCTCTTAACCCCCCCAAAGAAGAAAAGGCCCAGCTAAGGCCCAAATCAGAGGAACTATTTTATTGACATTGTTACAGACGTCACCTGGAAGTGTGGAGACATGTGCAGAACAGGAAATAACCTAGAAGGGGCTTTTGTCACTTCAGTGCTCACTCCTGTGCCCAAACGTGCCCACATGTTGACCACATCTGCAAGTGGGACCTGACTGAGGTGAGTGCAGACACCTAACAGAGGCCTCTTGAAACAAGATGACCTCACCCAGGACACAGATGCCAACAGGGGGGTTCCACAGGCCCGGAGGGGAGTTGGTCTCTGTCATTCAACTCCCAAGTGCCTCTCCATGGCTCTGGGCCCCAGAGGGTCAAGGAAAGAGGTGAGGTTGGGGCCAGTGCGGGAAGGCCTCTCTCCTGCCCTGGCATACAGTCCATTCTCAACACAGACAAAACTGCTTCGTGAGGAGACCCATATAGAGGCCCAGGGTGCAGGTGCCAGGGGTTGGTGTGTGGAGTAGGTAGTCAGTGGTGCCCACTGGGGCAGGCAGTGGTGGGGGTGGATGGTGTCCCGAGTTTCTGGGCAGAGAGTGGTGGTGGTGTAGGGGAGGTAGAGAGCAGTCAGACGGGCTTGGCTGGTGGCCTGTGGAGGAAGGGGAAGGAGGCTAGGTGAGACTTCACCGCCCAGCCAGTTCCAGCCCTGGCACCCCACTCGAGACACCACCCCCATCCTCACCTGAGCTGGCATCTGTGCCTGGGTGCTGGTGAGAGACGGCTGAAGCCTAATGACAGACCTGGGAGAGAAAGGAGTCAGAGGCAGAGGCTGGCTAGCCCAGTGGAGTGAGAACCTAGACTGAGCATAGTCTTACCAACGCCTCTGCCGGCGCACATAGAAGACAAAGATGAAGCCCAAGAGGAGGAGCCCTAAGGCCCCCAAGATCCAGGCCAGGTCTGCTCGCAGAATGGGGGCTTGAGTCAGGGCAGGGGACCCTGGAGACAAAGAGAGGCTTCAGGTGTACAGCCTGTGCCAAGGCCCTCCCTGTCCCCAGCCCTTCTTCCCCTGCCCCACCTTGGTCTGAGCTGTGCTCAACTGAGCCAGACTGAGGGTATCCACAGGTCTCCTGGGAACCATCCGGGAAGGAAACAAACTTGCAGCAGAAGGTGGCATTGGCCCAGGAGCTTCTTGCCTCAGACCCCTCCAGCATGACAGCAATGGTACTTTTGGTTTCCCACTGGGCCTGGCAGACAGGGGCCTGACAATGGACACCAAATTCTGGGTGCAACACAGCCAGCAGGGTCCCTCCGGCATCATCATGTCCCCCCCAGTTCACGGTTACCTGGGAGATGGAGCCAGGTCCCAGGAAGCCACAGCGAATCCTTAAGGGCCAGAGCTTGAAGGCCTCCCTCTGGACTTGCACCCACACCCTGGGGGTCTCTGAGGAAGGACAGGAAGGTCAGTAGTGGTGTCTCCACACTGCCTCTCCTGTGGGTCCACCTCCCTGCGATCTCCACACTCACCTGCAGAGATGCAGAGCGTCAGCAGTGCCCAGAGCAAGACCCATTCCGGGGGCCTGGCCATGGCTCTCTAGCGACCCAGGTTCTGGGGGCTGGGTGGATGGCCCCTGCACCCCTGTTCTCCTCCCAGGAAGTTCTCATGTTGTCAGCAGGTCAGCTGCTCCCCGCAGCCCAGACCCACTTCCTGCTCTCAGCCTCAGAGATAGTGAACTCAGGGTGATGGGTTCCCCCCTTAAAGTGACAGTGACAGGATTTATTCTGTCTCCAAGTACTGTGCTTCTCTTTGACCTGGGTGTCATGATGCAGTTCCATGGTGCTGGCTGTGCCACATTGGGGAGGGGGAGGCAGAAGTGCTGCAGGAGACATTGAAAATAGAGTTCCTTCCTGAGAGAGAAAGGGGGGAGGGCACCTGACTGCTCATGAGAGATAAGGCTCTGACCCCTGCCCCACCCATCTGAGTAGGGAATGCAGAACTCAGGAGACCCTCCAAACAGGGAAGCCAGCAGGGAGGCCCCCTATGAGCTGGGGGCTCAGCTCACATCCAAGGCAACCTCTCCACGCTCTCTATGCTGATGGTCCCACATTTAATCTGCAACCCTGTTCTCACCCACACAGCTGCTAAGTGCCCAAGGACAGAACTTCACTGCCCCTCACCGAGTTCCACTCCCTTCATGCCAATGGTCAATGGCACCTGGCTTCCAGCTGCTTCCACAGGTAACCCAAAGTATGATCACCTGTGGCTTTTATCGCCACACATCAGGACATCCTGCTGGCTTCCCATGCTGACCACTGACCATTTCCTACCACTCCACTGAGACCTCCATGATTTGTCATAATGTGCCTGGAAGAGCAGGAATAATGAATCCAGGAACTGGTCTCCATACAGCCAGTCATCTATCAGCAGCCTGTGAAACCCACTGCCCTAATTCACCCAGAGCCAAATCTTCCTCTGCTACCAGCCTTGCTTCTCCTTTCAGCCTCCCTGCCCGCTCCTACCTCACCAGCACACTTATTTGTCACATTTGGAGGTGACAGGATAGGTTGGCCCTTACCCACAAGGTGTGTCAGTCAGGCAGGCAGTGGGTGACCCCCTTGTGGTCTCCACCACATTGTCTTCCATTCCCACAAAGCACCATTCCAAATCGTTGTTGCACACCATCATTTACAGGATACAACACACTGGCTAGAACGCTGCTGCGTATGTAGGGACAAATGATCCTGTCCAGGCTCAGAATCCTTTACCTGCTGTGAACCTGAATCTGGGATAGTCCCAGGCTGTGTCTGACGACTGTTCTGCCCAGATGTGGTGAGAACTGAAGAGATGGCCCTGCCCTGGGGCCCCTCCCTGAGGCCCAGCTTTCCAGGTCAAGTTCAGCATCTGTTTCATCCTGGAGTGTCCCCCATAATCCACTTCCACTCTTGGGCAAGCTGTTACCTTATTCTCATTCCACAGCCCTTAAACCAACCTTCAAAGACATCTAATCAGCCTCCTGCCCTGGCAGCATTCTGTTGACCCTTGACTTTCTCCAAAGCACTTTGGTCATACTTACCCTATTACTCTTTCTTGCCTCAGCGTTTTTTAAGAGGTTCTGCCTTTTTGATCAAATGCAGACGGGGCCTCAGAACTCTGATGGATTTGAAAGCCATGGCACAAGACACCTCTCTGGTGTTCTCAACTTTTTTCAGTCTTGTAAGCCACTCTGTTCCCTTAGTAAGTTTTCATTTTGTTTTTTGCTTTTTTTTTTTTTTAAGACAGTCTTGCTGGCCTTAAACTTATGATCTTCCTGCCTCAGCCTCCTGAGTAGCTGAGATTACAGATATGAACCATCATACCATCTTTATGAGAAAAACTTACAGATAATGTCTATTTCTGACTTCCCTTTCCTCATCGCGCCAGTGACTTTCTTATTCCTGTATCAGCAATACGTGCCCCTAACTGGAGTACTCGTATGCTGTGGTATTTTCGAGGGCCCAGGACTCTTCTCAGAACTTCTTGGCTATTCCTAGTGAGTTTCCGGAGACACTAAAGGCCAACAGACCTACAATCTGAGGCCTGCACTGCTGGACTCTTCACAATTGGCCCAGTGGTACAGGCAGGATGACACAGGTCTGGCAACATCACCTGCTGCCTGGACATTTCTTGCTGAAATCCCTGTAGCCACAGCCCAAAGCCTGCTGCTATGAAATGGTGCCTGTCATCAGCCTGTAGTGAGGCTACGAACACTTGAAGTAACTGTAATGTCACAGCTTTGTGACCTCAGGGCAAAGCAACCTCACCTTCCAAAGAAACACCAAACAGCGGTGATACTGCTTCACAGTGGAAGTGAAGGTTAAGTAGGTCAGTGCAGGCTGACATTTCTGCCCAGGTAAGGATAAGCAACCATCCCGTGTGAGACATTCCCTGAGTTTAGCCCCTTCTCTTCAGAATACTGGAGGGGTTTTTTTTTGCTTTGTTTTTTAGGGTGTGCAGTACTGGGGTTTGAACTGAGGGCCTTGGTACTTGATGGGCAAGTGTTCTACCAACTGAGCCATGTGCTAGTCCCTTCGGCTTTAGTTTTTGAGATAGGTTCTCTCTTTTCCCCAGGCCCAGCCTCAAACCTCAATCTTCCTACCTCCACCTCCCAAGCATCTGGGATTATAGGCATGCACTGCCTTGCCCAGGGGGTGTTTTCCTTGTGGTTTCTGTGGAATACGTGACAACATAGAACTTCATGACCTTTACTGTACCTTACAGCAGATTGAGTAGCTGTCTCCTCCCTACTTCAGGTGCTTCCATTGGAAGGCCTGACCACTGCAACCCAGCCTCCTCTGGAAGTAACCAGCTCACCCTGAGTGTCCCGTTCCTCCTGCTGACCACCTGGGCCTAATACAAACAAAAACAGTTGGTTCTGCCAAAATACAGGGTCCTGGAGGGCACAAGTTCTCCAGAGAAAGTAAAATGGCTGTAAAAAAATCTAGGATGTTTTCGAGATAATAACTAATTGTGGTACTCTCCAGGATTTCTTTCCTTCCTAGCTTCCAAGCAGAGAGAGGTCTGAGGAAGCCATGTGACTGGCAGAGCTGTGACTGGGGGGGAATGGAACAGACACTATAGATCAGTCTGCTTTTGGTTCAAATGCTCAACCTCCTTAAGGAAACTCAGAGACCTGAGCTTCTCTGAACCTGGTTCAGAATTGAGAAGCCAGGGAAGCATAGTTCAGCCCACAAGCCAGAGCCCCCATAAGGCAGTGCAGGCTCTGAGTTCACTGGAAGGGGCAGGACTGGGGGTTGCTGGCTGGGGCTGGAAACATTCCTGTGGCCACATCTGGCATGAGAGATCGAGGGCTCATGCTGTGTGGCACAGGCCCAGAGGCATCTCCCTCCCCACTGCCTTGGCACAACCTTAGGGAAAAGGAGGGAAACTGGAAGACTCATGAATTAATTTTCCACCAGAAGAGCAGAAAAGCTTGAAATCAGAGGAAAGAAAGTTGTTTCTATACATCTGAGTTTGTGGAGGAAGACTCATAACTGCTACATTTATTTTACTTTTACGTATGTTTTAAATAATGGATAAAGGACACTTATTCCCTCTATACCTGTAATTACATTTTACTTTTTATTGTAGTATAAATAACGAGGCAACAGCTGAGTGTCCATCACATGCTCAATCTGCTCTGAGTGATTCATGTGAGCTGCACACTTACCACTCACTCTATGGGAAGTAACATGCCCAGGGTCCAAAATAGTGAAAAAGAATTTGAACCTTGAGAAAAATTTTATCTCCAGAGCCTGCATTAACCACTATGTGGAGCTGTCTCATCCACTGTTAAAAAGTTAAAAAATTTAAAAACGAAGGGGCTGGTGGAGTGGCTCAAGTGGTAGAGCACCTAACAAGCCTGAGGCCCAGAACACAAACCTCAGTACCAAAAAAAAAAAAAAAAAAAAAATGAAAAAGCTGGGCACTGGTGGCTGATGCCTATAATCCTAACTGCTTGGGAGGCTGAGTATCAGGAGAATTGAGGCTCGAGGCCAGCCCAAGCAAACAGTTCCTGAGACTCCATCTCTAAAGTAATCAGAGGAAAATGGACTGACGTGTGGCTCAAGCGGTAAAGCACCTGCTGTGCAAGTGCAAAGCCCTGAGTTCAAACCCCGGTCTCACCAAAAAAATAAATAAGAACAACCTACACAGTTTTATCAGCAGACAGCAGTATTCTGACCTGGCAGGAGGGACCTGGGGCTTGAAGCACACCTCCAAGAGCCTCAGAAATGACACGTTTGGCTTCTACCCACACTGTCAATCCTTCCATGTTCTAATCTACAGAAGCAAATCCAATCTACTTCCTTCAAATTTTCCCTGGCTCTGGGTTCCCTTGCACACTGGTGGTCTTCTCTAGTTTCCCCAGGTTCATCTTGGCCCATCTTCCACTCTTCCGGTTATTTCTCTGCTCCTCCTTCCTGACCACAGCTCTTCTGTGCTGTTTCTCCACACCATCCCCATTCAGCACACACCCAGGTTTGTCACTGACTCTGCACTGAAGTGACTCTGTTTTGGGACCTTCCAGGACCATGGTTTTCATCCTGACCCCAGGGTAGGCTCTAGAGAGCCCCAAAATTCTTATGTATGAAAAGAAACATTCTCCCTCTCACCATCTCCCCCAGCACATCATCAAGGCAGACTCTTCTCTTACCCTGCAGCCTCCTGGGGTTCAAAGATGAGGTGACTTGCCTAGTAGCTAAAGACTTTGTCAGCAATTCCGAAGGAAATCTCTTAACCTTATAATCCAAGCAGATGACACCAACTCACTTCTGGCAGTAGTAATGGCCACAACAGGGGTTAAAAAAAATAAGGCTTACCAGGTATGGTGGTACACACTTATAATCCCAGCACTGAGGTTGAGGCAGTAAGACCACAAATTCAAGGCCAGCCTGGGCAAAAAGGTAGCAAGATGTTGTCTGAACACCAAAATAGAAGGGCTAGAGGCGTAACTCAAGTGGTAGAGCACTTGCCTAGCAAGTATAGGCCCTGAGTTAAAAATCACAGTGCCTTCAAAAATAAAAATAAAAAGGGCTGGAGTGTAACTCAGAGATAGGCCATTTGCCTAGCATGTGTTAGGCCCTGAGTTCTAATCACTCTCACACACACACACACACAC